CGATTGAAACTAAACTGAAACTAAAATAGAAACCCGTCAAAGATGTTATTCCTTTCGTGGGAACACAATCCTGTCGCTCATCCTCTATGGGTGAACTGCAAGGCTGTACCATACAAACAGACACACACACACACACAAAATGTTGGGTTTGCAGGATGTACACCTGACCCCAGGCGCGGCAGACTCGGGAGTGAGAATTTGATCCCTTTTAGACAGTTTTGCTCAAGTGTTGCAAGCGAGTGGCCACGAATAGTACCGGCATGCCATCCTGAAACATTATCTGTCTGTCAAGCAGGCCAAGGCTACACGGACAGGGGAGAGTGCGAGCCATGTAAGGCTGTAACTAGGGAAAGCCCAGTTAGCTCTCTCAAACACCTAAGCTATTTTCCTCGACACTAAACTCTCCTCTCCTTTCTCTCTCTCTCTCTGCCACCCCCCTGTCTCTTTTCCTCTCACTTTTCTTTTCATCTTGTTCTTGATGCCGAATGCAAATTTAGCCTACTGGCGGTGAAAGGGCTGAATTGTGATTAAGAAGAAGCAGCTCTTTCTTTGTTCTCCCCTCAGGGGATGTTTACTGGGAGAGACACGGCGGATCAGATATGAAAGGCATTCAGGTCACCATTGATGTGAGTGAAAGTGAAATCATACCTTAGGCATTCAAAAGACCGCAGAGTCAGAGTTCAGCTAACGGTGCCTCTGCTGTGCATATTTTCCCGTTAGGCAAGACTCTCAGACAACAAAATAAATAACTCTTCACACAACAACATGCATAGATACACTTCCTTTATATTTCAAAGTTTTTTTTAATAAAAAGCCTGTAAAATATTACACTTTCTGATGGCCATAGGATTGATCCAAATATATTTTGACTAAAACGTGTATAATTATGTTTTAAAAATTCCGCTTAGTTTTTTTCCAGAGTCTGCATGCATCTGCTCAAACATCAGCAATTAAGTGTCGGAAGATCTTTATTAATTACGTTACACGCATAAAGCAAAAAAAATCAACAGAAATGCCACAGCAGCCAGTCTGACTCAATCCCACTCCCCAATCCCCTCCCCGCTATTTATGTACAAAAAAACAGGCTAAAAAAGAGCCAACTAAAAGCCCATCAGAAAAGGTGTCTGTTATAGACGCACAGACAATTGCACCCTTGTGGAAATGTGGACTGAATAGTACAGTGGACACCCTAGCACTATTGACGTTATAAACATGTAAATGAAACACATTAGTCCTGACAATCAATTGTCTGTGATCACTGCAAACCTGCTCCCTCTCTCTCTCTGTTCTTTGATGACAGGCGCAAAATAGCATGTACCTTGGGAAGCCGCTTTCTGGGAAATGACACAAGGAGCGAAAAAGAAAGCCAGTTTTTTTAAAATTTCAAAATAAGAAACCCAGAAACCTTTTCCTTCCTCCTTCAAGGAAGGCGCACCTACAAGCAAGGACTGATGACAACGGGGTAAAATGTTTGGACTGGAAAGAGTCTGCCTTTGTTAAGTCTTGAAAGCAATGTTGCCATAAATGAATTACTGCCTATCTTTTACCTTCAGCATAAGTGCAGACACAAAACTCTGCTCGCAGCATCTGGTTCTTACGCCTTAACCCATTCCTCCAAAGTACCTTTATTGACAATGATCAATACATCCTAACAGAAGGGAAAGATCCTTTACTAATGTGTTTACAGCTGATGATGGATAGCTGCTGGGGTCTGAGATAAGTAGAAGGGGTGGGGGGATAAATCTTCACAATTCTAATTAATGATTTTACTACCTGAAAAAAACTATACAGTTGCTTGTTACTGTGCCCGTTTTGCACTTTTATTATAATTGATATAAAATGTAATATTTACTATCAAGGCCAATCCCCTCACATTTGGTCACCAGGCTAGTTGCAAGTGGCAACCAAATGTCGCTTTTACAGTTAGCTGTTACTTGCAACACCTGATGAAAGTATTGCAACAGTGTTTGGACACTATTGGTGAAGGTTTACAAGGCTCCACCAGTGACGTTTATTTTCTTGTTGTCTGGAGAGAGACTTTCTCTCCTTCTATCTCACCCTTTTTGTTCCTCTTGTTATTTTAGAACTTAAAGCATTTCTTTTGCTGCAGCTGGGCGGATTCACGAAACCTGAACTGAGACATACACTGGGTCAGCCGACCATGATGATAGGCTCACTGTTTAGCGTCGCTCAACAGAAACAGCAGTGTCGGCCCACAACAGTTAATCCCATGATAGTTTTATTTTTTTTCCCTTCTCTCTTCCTCTCCCTCTTCAAAAGCAAGAACGCGCTTGGCGGATACTTAACAATTAGATTGCCCCAGATTCGGCAGATCTAAAGTTAATAAAAAAAACCTTGCGCTGGCTTTACTTAAATGGGTTTTCTCAATTTCGTACAATATCTCGCAGTTGAAACCCAGTACGAAACAATGTCGAAACTTTAATTTTTAAAACAGTTCTCGAGAAGTTAGTTAATTTCTCACTGATCCTGACCAAACTTTTAGCAGTTCATTTTGGCATTTTGGCAGAAGTGACCAGACCCGACGGATGGATCACCAAAAAGAAAATAAATTACCAAATACAACGACCAGAAGGCTTAATGTGGGTGGTGGAGCAGGAGGCTCAACCTCATCATTAAACATTGCGGACATTATTTCTGCAATTAACAAAAGGGCTCTCTCTATCTCTCTCAACAGAAAACCAGCATTCCCAGGGAGCGCCACAAACAGGACCTGTGCGTGTGTGTGCGTGTGTGTTGTGTGAGTTAAGGCGACGAGGTGTGTGGAGAGGCGCGGGAGTGGGAGGTTTGGTGGGGAGAGGGAGGGGAGGATGGGAGACCCTAACAAAATATCAGTGTACAAAGGGTTAACCAAAATAACAAGGACAGTTTTGTCACCCTCTCCACTTGAGTAAATACACCCTGAACAACGGCAATCGACTGCCAGTTGTGAAATTGCTACATGCACATCAATTTCACTTGCTAAAAAGAAGTTTGATTTCCTTTGATCTAACTGGAAATCAAAGTTACCCAAAGTATAAATTATTAAGTAAGCGCGGGTCTCCCGAGTCCTGAAACAAAACACTTAAAGTAAAAGTGTTTCAAAGTTACAGATGAGTCAGTAATCATCTGACTTGGGTTGTGACTGAAACTGACACTGCCTTTTGTTCATTTTTTTTTCTCGGTATTTTTTTCACTCCCCTCCTGCCTGGTCGCATAATCGTAACCCAGCATCTTCCCCCCACCCCACCCCCCACTTCTTTCCTGCAATACATATCGCCCTGATAACATCTTCAAATATTGCTATCAGCGGATGCACAAGCAAGGAGCTGACATCTTTTCCATGACTCCAAGAGAAGGCAGCGGTGGTGGTTGTGGGGGTGGGGGAGAGGTGGTAGAGGGAGATTTTTTTTAAAAAAAAACCTTCTCCTGCAATCAGCTATGATAAATGCAGGCGATTCCCCGGGGGAAAGACATTTGGATGTGTGCATGACACGGGAGAAAATGAAAAGCGGTTTTTACCTGCAACCCCCATCTACGACCAGAACGGAGGGAAGTGGGGTAGAAAAAAAGCGGGGGATGCGCATTAAAGTGTTAAAGTCAATCACTCCGATAAAAATACCCAGAAAACAAGATACTCGAGAAAACTTGAAGTCACGTCAGAGATCCAGCCAGTGATCTTCAAGGCACGTTGGTATAAAAAGCAGCCCTACCTTATTTGTCTCCCCCAACATTGGTTTGTAATCTCATGTTCCCATGTTTTTTGAACACACACGAACACACGTACATACAACAGCAGAAAGAAGGGACAAGCTACTCTTGACACCAGTAATGTCCTTTTGGAATACTTAGAAAGGGAGAGACAGAGAGCGAGAGAGAGAGAAAGAAAGGACTCAGCCTCAAGCATTGATATTACAACACACAAAAAAAAGAAAATCAATAAGTTTAATCTGCTAAAGGAGGAAAAGGCAGACTGCATCAAGGGGGCAAGGTAACATTCACACACACACACACACACACACACAGTCTTCTCGTCCAGTCGCTGCGGACTGTACTTTAAATAGAAACTCGCGACTGCTCGCCTTTTTTTTCTGCTATTGTTAAAGGACACTTTATTTACTGATCCAGCCAAACATATCAAGGTGGGGGTGGTTTTTTTCTTGTGGGAGGGGGAAGAGTACGGAACACAAGATGAAATGAATGTTCACACAAAATGTCGAGCTGGCGGCATAACATTTGAGCCAGTACGAGGTGAAAACATGAATAAACGCATCAACAAAGCCTGATCCCGAAACACACAGAGACAGAGGCTTTAAATAATGTGAAGGACGACAAACGCGCACACACACACATATACACACAAAAAGGACAAGGTATCAAGAAAGGGAACGTTTTATTCTGCTCCCGGTATCAGCCCTCCCCTCCCTTACCCCACACCACACACACATCAAAACAAAATCTAAAGAAACGAGAGAGATTTGCTCATTTAAAAAAATCCGCCTGACGGTCTTTTTCTTTCCTTACTTGAGGGTTATAATTTTTGAAAAAAAAGTTGCAGTCATCCCTGAGAGGGGGGAGAGAGAGACAGAAAGGGTTGGACAGCAAGTACGAAAACATTTAACAAACATATGTATGTAAGGTGTGTTCTGTTAGACTGAAGTGTTGCCAAAGTCTGACACGTCCTTTTTTTTTTGATCGAAAAGAGTTTAGCTAAATAAGCGATCGCTTGGAAAACAAACAAAAGAGGCACATAACGGTTTTCTCCCGTAGGCGAGTCAAGTATTATGGAGAAAGAGAAAAAGAGGACAGGAGTAACTTTCACACAACACACATCCACCACTTTCACTGGGGTGTGCGGTGGAGCTGATTAGTTGGGGTGGGGGGGTGTCTTTTCAAAGTCAATCAACATTACACGGAGGGGGGAAAATACAGCCGCTCTTCACAATCTGAGGTTAACTTTGTGCGGGAGGCGATGGTAGCAAAGGAAAGGTGCTCTCTCCTACCGTTTTTCCTCCTGGGGTTGGCTTGTTTTCGCCTCTTACACCTGGGGCCATCCGCCATGATCTGCTGCTTCATTGATAAGAGTCTGATCAGATTCCAGGACTCGGCATCGGCTCGTCCCCCCGGCTCTTTTCACGACGCTTTACGGTCCTTCGGAGGGGGAGACAGAGAGAGAGAGAGGAAGGGAAGGAAAAAAAAAGAGGGAGCGTTTACAAAACATACACGCCAACAATGTGTTTTACGGTACTCATTTAAATACTGCCCGCGAAATAAGGCAGAGCCCGGCCACCAGCGCACCGAGCGGACTTAGGTTCCCGCGATCCCACAAGCGGGCACCTCTCTCTCGGCTACACACGCACATCGTTAACTCTCAGCCCTGACTCTATCCCCTAAAACCTTCACAAACTGGGGGCCAACTGCACAGGAGCGGAGTGCCTCAGACTGTCCAGGAAGACAGCTGAGGCTCAGACCACCGTCATCTGTTTCTATTTCATGTTACTTTTTTTAAAAAGAGACAAAACAAGGCGATTGTTTCCTCCTCTCGCCCACCTCCTCCCCCCTCCCTTCCACCACCCTTCACTCCAACCTCCAGGGGCTTGTTTTCTTGTTGACTTTTTTACTCTTTTGTTTGTCGGTGGGAAGGGAGCGCTGACTTACGAGATGGGGGAAGAGGCGGAAAGCAGGACGTTCGATGGTACCGTTCGTTGGGCGTGAGGACCGGCATTGAACTGCTCTGCAGGACTTCTCGAAAAAAAATGTTTGATTTTTATTCCTCCTGACTGTAGGAAACGTGGGATCGTTAAACTACAGCAACGTCTGCAAACTGAGGTGTTGAATGGCAAACTAACGGTGCCGGCTGAGATCAGACTCGGTGTGTCATCTATGCATTTCCGCCCTCTCTGGAATTTACACTTTTACCTCTTTTTATTTACTTTTTCAAAACAACCCCCCCTTAAAAAAACACAGCTATTACAAATCCTCATTTCACACACACACAAAACGCAAAGCATCAAACACCCGCGATGATTAAAGGTGATTCCGGCTCATGTAGGCAAAGTGTAACTGTGATATGACATGACTGTGGTAATTCCCCCAAATTTACAGATGTCCCATTTTTAATAAAAAAATAAAAAAAAATTAAAGGACACACACATCTGATTTACGCCAGGCAAACCAGGGCAGGAAATGATCATTTTATAAACGTTTTGTTGTGAATTCAAACCGAAACGAAAAATGGGGGGTGGGGGGGGCCAGTCCAGGCGCTGTTCCAAAAAAAAGGTTCGCATCAAACAAGCGGCCAGCGCACACAAACTGTACGTTCAATGTGCAGATATTTACTCCTGTTCCTTGTAGATATGAAAGTCCGACCGCAATCCACATTAATTAAAAAAAAACGCATACAGCAACAAAGAGTATAAGATCACTCAGAAAATGGCCAGTCTGACTAAGCTTATGTAATAAATTCACATAAGCGACCAAGCATGTCATAGTGAAAAATGCCATCAGTGTGCCACACACAACTGCACTTTTTTACTTATTTCAGTGAAAGGGGGAAATAAACAATTACGGCTGCTCCTACACAATGAAGTACACTTGAAACATCACCCGGTCCCCTGAATTCTGAGCAGAAAACACTTTAGCCATAAACTCGCCTTCAACACGAACCCCACCTTTCACTTTTTTTTGCCATCCTAATTGAAGTTTGTCAGCCGCCACCACCTTCCCCCTCCCACCACTCCATAAGTTCGCTGTTTTCCTTTCCTTAAAGCTGAGAGACCAAGACACACACACACACACACACAAAAGTGGAAGCACCACTTAGTTCAAAATACGATTCAAAGTTTTGGCAACAAATGTATTCACAGCGAACTAGGGACCCGGACTGTTTCACTCGGTTGTATATTTACAAACCGTGTCCCCTTTTCTGAAATCAATCGTCTAGAATTAAGAAAAATCTATCGATTTTGTCTAATCCCTCGAAATTTCCGACTCTACATTGGAGCTGCAATGAGGGGCAAACACATTGTGAGTAAGGCACTGTCTCAGCAGGTAACGGTTCCTTTCAACAACCTATTGCTCACTAAAAATAACATAAAATCACAAAACGAGAAACACGCGTCCTGGAAGGAAAATAAAAATTGACATTTTAGTGCGAGGATTCATACCAGTTGACGGACATGTTTCATTTTGCCCCCTTTCAGCACCTTTTTCTAACACCTGGATGTCAGGTACTTGAACAAAGTTTTGCGCCTAAAATGCAGGCAGGATCAGAGAGGGGTCGGCTGGAAAAAAAAATCTCTAAAGTTTATCTCCACTCGCACAACAATACCTGCGCACAAAATCTCAGTCTGTAAATACAGATAGATAGATAAATGTTTAAAATACCTGCTCTGTCCTGGCTCTGTTGTTTAGTAAGACTGCTGGGAGGTCGACAGCGTGCAGATGAAGGAACATGAAGATCAAGGCGAGATTTTTGTTCAAAAGGAAAGGGAAAAAAAGAAACCTTTAAAGACTTGAGGAAGGACCGTTATTCCTGCTGTGCAGGTTAGAACTGATCGCTCCGTTGTCTCTCACACCAGGAAACACAACCTGTGGACGGACTGACGTGTTCCGCTTGTTGGAATGACATTTTTCTATAAAGAGAGTCCCTGAAGTGCGGCCCCAGAAACGCACGCCACCTATCTTCGTGGTAAGGGATAATTGAAGATCCGTAAACGTGATCATCGGTAGATGTGACGTTTTCAAACATTTTTCTCCCTCTCTCTCTCCCTCTGAGTGTCCAGTCCGAATCTGGATTAAATTACCTTTTCAATTCACAGCCATCAGTAGAGAGGACTGGGCAAGGGGGAAGGCTGGTGACCAGTGGGAATGCAGTTGCCTCTCTCCCTCGCTCGACGTAATCCTGAAATGGCATTCTTACAGGGTTAGCTGTATCTGAATGTCCTGATCACACAGCCCCGCGCTGCTCAGTGACTCAAAGCAAAAAACTCCAGTCCTTTCCAACTCCTATTCAATACACACAGGCGAGGCAGCGGGAGAGCTGGATGCATCGCTATGTTCACCAGATGAGGCTGGCGTTCGGGATCAGTACCGGGGTTGATTCTTGTTTTTTTTCCGATCACCTCTCCCCCTCCCTACCCCGCTCCAAACGCACACATGTTTATTTCAATAACGTTTATTATTTAACCGAAAGTTTGGGAGCTCGCGTCTTTTTTGTTTGGCCAACTCCGTCCGAATCCTGAAATCCCCAACTTTTCAGCTCGTCTCCGACCCTACAGAATGTGTCACTCGAAATAACCTCTTCATAAAAAAACTTTTATCCGTTTCTACCGTGGGAATTTCTGATTTTCAAGCAAAACACGCGAGTCTTTTTAGGAATGGCCCTTGTAGACTGTTCTCTCCCAGTGTCTTGTGATTTGCCATTTAATTATCCTGATCTTTAAGGACTTGGTTTTAAACAGCAAACTCTTAAAGATTATTCAAACCACCGTTCTGACCCTCTAACCCCGAGTAACCGATCTAAAAATAAAGGGTGTGGGCATTGGGCGGTGTGAAACGCACTGGCGGCCAAAGGGTTAACGTATTAAGTTGACGAAGTTCTCATGGGAAATAAAAGAATACCTGGTTGTAACTTAACCACGACCCACAAGGATGGGATTTCGTGAGGTTGTTAGGATGAAGCAGCGCATAGATTTGGGTTTATGGGGTGTGGTTGCCAAATGCCTTATGTTTGTAAGTGCTTATGTGCGTTTATCCGCGCCACTGTGTCTGTGCGCTTTTCCCCTACTTTTACTGACTAGTTGTACTTGTCCGAATAGCTGCTTCTCACCGTTAGTCCAAAAAAGCTCAGCCTCCGCAATGCTACCATTGGCTCCGTCACAGCCCCAAGCGGTTCTGACATGTCGCTAACTCCTGTTTGGTTAATTAAGTTTTCAATCAGCAGACAGAGGGTGATAATACATCGGATTGATAATTCATCGAAGCCCGTCCTTTATTATCGCAGGAATGGGAGGGACGCTGAGATCTTTTCCTAAGCATGTACAACTTATGAGATGTTGTGGTTTCTGTAACGAAATATAAGTGAGCTCCCTAGAGATCTGGAAAAGTCTTGATTCCCGAGATGTCTCTTTTTAACTCCTGTAATTATTCCAACATCAATGGTTAAGGGTAGCACAAGCTGCTTCGTTATAACGACTGGATTTATAAATTGTTTGAACAAAATGACCTGGTTAAGGGGGATTCTGTCGAAATGTAAACCAAGTTTATGGAATTTCACGGGAAAATCTCCTCCATTCCTGTCTGAGGGAAGTTCTGTGCTCACTGCCAAAAGTTTATCCAGAGCTGAGGCCAGAAGTCATTCTATTATTTTTTTCAATATAAAAATTTGATAAATCATTTTTCTTAATGTTGCAACATAACAAGTTAAAAGAGTACCCAGGATGGATATAAAGTGGTGAAAATTGAGTCAAACTCTTGCCTCACTCGCTTACAAGAAACAAGTGATTCTAATAACGCTGCTTCTTTTCACTTGGAATAAATTCTCACTGTATGTAGCTCTTTAAAATGAATTTTCCTTTTGATGCATATTGCAAATGCTTTTGTTTTGTGAGAGTTTGGAAGGTAGTGATGGTGGTGAGCAAACATATTGCATTAAGCTGTATTCTTCAGGAAAAAAACCCGCTATTTTCAGTAAGACAAGGTTTTAAAAATGATAAATTGTGCAAGATTCAGTAAGTTGTAGGGTGTAATCTTATGAGTAGAGAGTAGACTGATTTTCCCTTGAGCATAATTCTAATAATCTTTATTTAACTTAGTATTCACCACTGGTTTAAAAATCTAATGACTAAAGAGGCTAGTGATTCACTTAAAATGTGTTTTTCAGGCTGCTTCATTTGCTGTACTTTTGCATAATTTTTCATTTAGATGGTAGACCGATGACCTAATTGTGGAAACTCTTGTCGAGAGGTTTATTGATCTGACAGAATGAAGGACTTTATTTAACAACAGCAAAGGTACAGTCATCAAATGGCATTTCTGCAATGTTGCAATTTCCGTATATACTTTTGCAAGTATTAGGATGAACTCCTCTAATCATTTTCAAGTCTACCCAGTTACCAGCAAAATCATATAGACGAGGAATGTTCTACATTTGATTAATGCCGATTAAATGATCTCAGCCGAAGTGGCAATTGTAATTGGTTTCAGGGCTCCTGGCTTAAAGCATGGAAAATTGGCCAAAGTTCGTAACATCCAGCATGAGTGGCCAAGCATGGTCATCAGGTGAGGGCAGGGCTTCAGTTGATTGATGTTTCTTGTGGCCACATGGTCTCTGCCACTGCCAAGACATGTGTAAGAATAATGATCACTTAAGGGAGATACTGTGCAGCGGAGAGTGTGTGAGGAACTGTTCCCCAGCAAGAAATCAAGATGCTTAGAAGAACAGAAAAAATGTTGGTGATTAACAATGAGGAAGTAGTATTAAAACAACAAAATAAGCGCTCTGAGGTGTTTTATAAAAAACAGTCTGATTTTTAGGTGATACTGATTTTTAAATAATTAGTACTGAGATATCTGTAATTTATATGGGGCCCATTTTTAAAGGAAAGACAAAAAGAGAGCAAAAGTTAGCGTATAAAATAATTCATTTCTGAATGACCTTTTCTTTTACTGTGAGTGTCATTAAGCACATTCTTTTCAGTCATTTACTTTTAAAAGGAATACTGATAGTGATGCTTCAATTCAAAGAAACACACAAAAGTTCTGCACATCATCTGACTGATCCTAAATACGAATAGCACATAATTAATCACTCCCTTAAATATTCATCCCCTTCCTCCTTATATATTCTCACACTATCTTCCCCTTTTCCATAATCCACTCCACATGTTCCCCACTTGCTGTATTAAAAAAAGTTCTAAGCTCTTTGCAAATTTCATTTTCTAAACCCAAGTTTATGTTCCCTAGTTCTTGCATTTGTAGCAATGTCAAACATAGTATTAATCTTCAAATTAACTATCCCTTTAATACTATTGAATAACTTATCTGAGCCTTCTGTTCTTCAAAACAAGTTATCCCAGGCTTTTCAACTTCTTCTTATAACTCAAATGTCAAAGCTAGACAACAGTTAGGTTTTCCATTTCATGACCATTCCTGATGTACAGATATCCTTGCCATGGCACAGTGAGCAGTATAATATACAATGCCCTCATGGCAGCCAACTAGTACCTTGAGCAAATTTATTGTCTCCTTGTGAAATATGTGTTCGTGGTCTCTTGGTATTCTTGTTAGTTTTACTTACTGCTTCCGCTCACTGAATCATTAGGTTCCATAAGGATATGCCCATTTTCCTTGTTCACTTTTCAATATAATGTCCTCTGCCATTGAAGCCATTTGGTTTGTGTTGTCACTTTTAAATTTATTTTGCAAATGTCCACTTTTCAACTCATCTGCTGAATCAATTGTGACTCCGTTATTCAGCCTTTGTTGTAGTTTTTAGACTGACATGGTGTTCTGCATCATGTGCTTTGCGATGGGGAGGAACATGTGCAAAAAATCTTTTATCTAACTTGCAGGGGTTGGTGGGAAACCTGAGAACAGGAGCCAATTTGTTGACTGTGACAACTACAGCCCAAACACAGTTTGGTAAAATGTGATCCCTAATGGGTGAAACCACCATTTATTTTAGTTTTGGACAAAAGCTGCCAATGATCCAATTAATAACAGTGCCAATCTGAATAATTTAGGTAAATCTGAAGGAATTTTGCTTTAAATGGTCTTTTCCTTTAAGAAATCTATATTACAAAGCACAATTTTTTTGGCAATTGCCCACTTTGCATATATGCAGCAGATTATTGTAAACAGTATAATACAATCTGTTAGGCATGTCACTGTATTTGATACAAATTTATCATAACAATCTGTGAGAACATGTTGAAAATGAGCACTCTTCAGTTCAGCAGGCTTGAGACGATAACATAAGAGAGTGCTTTTTACAAAACAAATTAACATAAATTTGACTTGGTATCTAAAACCTAAATTCTCACTAACACTGCAAACAAAGTGTGTTTGTAGATTCACATTTTACGAATGTTAGGGGTCCCAGTTGAGATACAAAAGCAATCAGAATACTTGTCCTCACTGAAAGCACGGGTATTGCTTTTAAATGCTGTTTCTGGGCCCATCTGGGTCAATGTAAGATTGGTGTCAGTTCATATAGACAGGAAGGGTCATAAGGCAGGCACAGATTTGCAAATGGAAGTGAAAAGCAGTAGCATTTGGGAAGCTCTTTGTTGATTTCACTCCATGTCACTCAGTTTTTGAAGGCAAATCTATAGCTAGTTAATTAGTCCCAGCTTCTTAGCAACAGTTTCCCACTCCCTCAAACCTCCCAAGATGAAGTGGTTACCATAATTTATGTGAGATATTTCAATAAATATTTGATTGAATGCAGAAATGGTTAACTGAAGCGACAAATTGCACCTTTGTGTCTCTTATCTAAGTAAATGTGTAGAATGCAAAAATTGTACTTGCTATTGTCATTTTCTAAGATTCTTCAAATATTAAACCTTGTGGCATAACTGTTGCTAAAATGCACCACTTTGACAGAATTTACAAAAATACATTTTTTCCGGCTGTTGCCATCACAAGTTTCCTGTCTTTTCAAAAGGATGAAACACATGCTGGATACAGTTCTGTGAGCATCAGTATACTCTGGCACCACATCTAAGGGGCCATACTTCATTTATGAGTCTGATCTGTGAATCTATTTAATTGTGGAGAAAAGCATAGTTCACCTTGTTGGTGTCCTCATTGAAGCCCTTCAGGACACTAAAGAGCACTTAAAATTATGAAACCTTATCTAATGCTTCCTTCTCAGGCATAGGATGCTGAGAAGGCATGTGGTATTCCCACAAATATCCTAGCTAAAGGTTTGCTCATTCAACACTGAATAGCAATCAAACCTGGATATTTCCCGATCTCTATTACCTGCGGCTTATTGTTACATATGTTATACTGGCTATATTCAGCGCATCGCAGTATTACAATGTGCTTGTTAAAGAAGCATTAACATGTGCAAAGGACTTGTTTTGGGCTAAAGTTCTGGATATCTGATATAGTGTGTGGTATACTTCCAAAATGCAATGAGCGTATGCTTCCTTTCCACCATATTGGATGCTTAAGAGTCCATTTATTAGATACAAAATTGATGTGGCACAATTGAGTTTCTAGCCCACAACTTTCGATGGACCATAGCTTCTTCCAGTTGAATAATGGCAAGTTCAAAGCCATTATCTTCGGCATTCATCACACACTCAGATCACTCATTCCAAACCCTATCGTCTTAGATTAAAGAATACTATTTGCAATCTCAGTGTCAAACTGGGCTTCAAGCTAAGTGTCCAACCTGAGATCCTTTTCATCAGAAAGAATGCCAGAGGCTATTTCCCTTAGTATTTTCTGGTACTTAGCCATCCCATCTGCTGTTGAAAATCATGCGTCAAATTTCATCGTCTTGAGATTCTGTCACCTCATTGTTTTCCTGGATGGTGTTCCCTTTATCATTGACCATAAATTTTAGGTTATTTGAAAACTCTGCTACCTATATCCTATCCTGCACCACAAACCCGTCACCCCATCTATCCTCATTCACCTCAGTTCCTGGTTCCTCCAGTGCCTCAAATTTAAAAGTATAATTAAAAAAATAATTTAGATCTTTTCTTGGCCTTGTTGTTTTATGTCTGTCAACCCCATGGTCCCTGGTTGCTCTGTTCCTCTGTCATAATCTCTTGCATTTATCTACTTACCTTCAGCCCAGTGATCACGTCTTAAAGTCTCCCGACACTGCACGGCCCTTAAACCTCTGACTTACCCACTGCTAGCTCCTCATTTAAGCAAATAATTTCTTTGATCGATCTTGAACTTTTGTTCACCTCTACTAATATCTCCTTTTGCGGATCAGCACCCATTTTTGTCCAATTGCTTTTGTAAAAGCAGCTTGGGACATTCATCTATCTAACGGTGTGTTATAAATGTGTGTTTTTCATCTTAACAGAGACACTAAACTGTTTATTTCAAGGAAGGTAATATTACTCTCAAAATAAAATAAATGAATTCCATGCAAACATTTTAATGTTCATATACTAATATACATACTGCATAATTTAATGTCATGTAATTATTGACTGAACTGTGGAGGAGGAAAGAGAGCAGAAATGAACTTTTAATGACTTTGTTCTAGGATTATGGATTTATTTGTGTCGAGACATGTTTATATGAAAGCACCAGAACATCACTGTATCTGAAGATCAAAAAGATGGCTTGGTAATCTGACCAACATAATTGCTGGTAGAGACATTTGTCTAGTCTGACATTATGAATGTGTTGTTCAGCTTCAGCAGCCTACCTGAATTCTGTTAAATGTAACTGAGGATGATCTTAGGTTATAAACTTGTCATTTGAATATGTTTCACAACAATCTTCACAACACCTTCCCTGAAGTCAGAAAGTGACAAGCTTTTTATCTGATAATACAGTTAGCCAACCTCATGGAGTGCAACAACATCAGACAAACTCTCAGCTCCAATCCCTGTGGTGAGAGAATGGAACATCTACAGGAGATACACTTTGGAGTCGCAAAGAAACAGGAATGGCTCCAAAATGGCTGTAGTTCTCTTTGAAGCCAAAGGTGGTCCTTGCCTGGCACTAGTAAGAGTACTCTTCACCCCTGCAGTTCCTATGATGTTATCTTACATGTCCTACTGTGTGCAACATTATCAATTTTATAACGGTTGTTGAGGGAACCTTCTGCTATTTAAGGAGTATGGTCATGAGATTCTATCAAACATTTTAAAAGCACACAGCATTAGTCAGATAATTAGTGGATAAGGAGCTGAGAAACTATACTTTGAAACTTCATTAGTTGCGTGACATATTTATAAATTGTCTGTTTTCAAAAGTGAAGCAGCTCTCCCCATCTCAGTTCAGCAATATTTAAAATCATCTTCACATTGCACGAAAATAAAAGTGAGCAGCATGTGCAGTTATCAAGCCGGATAATATATGGTCTATTATATTTCCGTGATGTATGACAGTCAATAAGAACATGTCATCAGTCATGGCAGCACATTTTAATTGATTATAAATGGCATGACAATTTGTGAAACTTCTGGCCCTTCACTCTCTGTCATTTAGATCAAGAGTTTCAAAATTTTTTCTAATGTATTGCATTTGATCTGGAGGCATAACTTTGTCATTCTGACTTGTTAAGGGGAAGGAAAAAAGGAACAGCTGGCTTGGTGATCATTATGTACAAAGTAGGCAGTTTTGTAAATTAATATAAAGGGAGTAGCTATCACCCAAAAGCACTTAAACTGACCTGGATGCAAAAAAAGATGTGTTGGATGAACACAGGGCCTATTGTGGTGACACTTTCTTTATTAAAGTATATCTTAGGAACAACTTCAACACTCGGGATTAATGCAAAATTATTTCCATCTCAATTGCCATGTTTACCCTTCCCTGTCTAAATCATTAATGTCTTGCTGGTAGCCAAGTTCCCCTTAATTCAGCCCTTTCACTAATCAGTGGCTAAAATTTCAAAAATATGCTGTACTTAAAGTGATGGATTTCCAATGGAAGTGGTAAATTTGAAAAGTAGGTCAGCGAGCAACATTCACAGGCCCACTAGGAGTTAAATTCTTGAAGTTGCATTTTTGTAGAATTTGCCAAATGATTATTTAAATGATGAGATTTCAGTGAATGTTACAAATCTAATTATAATATTACAACGTAGGAGATTTACATTAGTTGGAAAACTAACTAATGAATCTCTAGTTTTTGAAATTTAAATATTGCTCTAATAAAAAGATTACTGTATTGCCAGATATTCAGAGACCTCATAAATTCAATGCATTTGTGAAGGGAAAAAAAAAAGCACTGCTTGCTTGAATTCCTTTAAGTACGAAAAGCTGTGCTTAAAAGAAAAACGTCAGCATTCACTGTATTAAAGTAACTCACATTCAGTCTGCTTTTATTTAAAGACCATGTGCTATCCCATATTTCTGGTATACAACTTAAAAAAAGTATCAAACTGCATTTATGTTAATGTTTCAATAAATTCAAATTGTGAATTAAAACTTTGAATACGTAAGTATTGAAACAGCTGCCTTTATGTGATAGATGACTCAACTATGTACCTCTAAAAATTGTGGTCTGTCTGTCATTGGACTGTGAATAATTCCTATGTCTACTACTTTTATACCACCAGAGAAATCCGTCCACCATTAGTCTGCTCAGAGTTTAGTCACATCCATTAATGTCTGGAATGGTATGTTATTATTAGGTTACCAGGTGTTGGATTCACACCACTACAAGACTGTTAGTGATTACACCAGGAGTGGGCTGATGCCATCACTAAGCAAAAGGACTGCTAACCCAGCACTCTTCATCTCCTTGAGGGCAATCAAGACTCTTAATAATTGAATTAAAGCTGACAAAGTATTGAAGCAAAGCACAAAAAAAGGTCCTCTTAAATCGCAGCTTGTCCAGTGTTGGGAACATTAGTGATTTGAAGCTACTAACCACTAGGCCACAGTCAGTCTGAGTAGCACGTACATGTCAAAGGTCACATTTACCCAATAAAGTGCCTTATAAAAGAATTTTACCAGTCATTTACTTTAAAACATTTCACTTTAGGTTCCCTGCTGGCCCAGTGGGTAAATAAATTGTGTGATGTGATATTGAAGCATGCAGATCAGGATGGCTCCAGTTTTTATCCCTGTTCTGTGCTGACCTGACAAATCTCACTTGCTATAGGGAAGCAATGTGAATTTCAGTCACTGGATTAGAGAGGGGATAATCAGCAGAGTTCCTGTTCCTGATCACTATCATATGACTCTGGTTGGAATGTATGCGTTTGGATGCCAGGTGAGTATGGGATTAGGCTCCACTGTGATCTCTATCATATATAAATGGTTTGAAAATACTTAATTTTGATTTGGAGTAACTGTTGAACCCTCTATGCTTTGTGCCCATTACTTCCATCATTAATATTTCACAAATGTTTACACAAACTGTGTATTAGATAACTCGGTAAATCGCCTTACAAGGTAGTTTGACTTACCAATAATGCACATGAAACAGAAGCCAAAATTATTTTAGTTCCTGAAGATTGGTCTCTGGCCAACCTCTTCATTGTTTCACATGAAAATAAAAAAAAGAATCAAACAAAAAAAGTGTAATTTGTGTTAACAAGTCTATGGTCAGACTGTTCACAATTTATCATGTTGTGCACTTTACCAAAATTGAGTCAATATTATGAGTAAGGTGAACGCTTAGCCAATACTTTGTAGATTTTCTGCTTCTGTTATGTCAGCATCACAGACTAACATCTGTATTCCACCAATTTTTTATGAACGTGGTTTAACAATGTGATAATGACCAAGTAATCTGTTTGTGTGATGTTGACTGAGCGATATAAATCGCTAGGACAGCGGGAATAACTCTCCTATTCTTATACAAATACTGCCACAGGATTATTTACATCCACCTATACAGGAGATGGGAACCTCAGCATAATGTATTTTCTGAAAGACAACACCCCTCTGACAGTCTAATGTTCCCTTAGTACTGCACTGGAGTGTCAGCCTTGATGTTTCATTCTCAAACCCTAGAGTGGGATTTGAACCCAGATCCTTGTATTGAGAGGCAAGAGGGCTAGCAATAGATGAAACGTTATTATCGACCCTGAATGAATTAAGCAAAACCGGTCACTTTTCATAGATACCATAACCATTGTTCTAAATTGGATGCCATTGGATCTATAATTTGCAAATTTGTGTGTGTTCTTCTATCCTCCATGCCTCTTCTTAACTGGCTCCAATAGTTTTACGTCTAAGGAACTAATTGACATAATATTGGATATACAATAATCTATTCACTAATAATAGGAATACAGTAAATTGTTTTTCTGTTATATGCTTATAATTTAGAAATCCTCCTCCAATATTCCAAAAGTGGGTGAGTCATGAAGGGTTAAAAATGACTTGTTTTGGCTAAAATTAAATGCCCTCTACCTAAATCCTGTACTTGATCAGCTTTGTAGTAATAGCTTACAATTGACTGTACTTTCAGTGAATGGTCAATAATCACAAAAAAAATTTTATCCCATTGATAATTCATTGCACAGTTTTTGTAAAGTTGTTTTGATTAAATCTAGTTTGGTTGGCCCCTGAAATCTCTCTGAAATTTTATGACACCACCTCTTTAAGAAGTGATACTTGTACATATCCCATTAGGGTCGATTTGCCCAGATATATAATTAGATTGTGACTTATTCCCCATTGATCTGATTTACTTCAAACCTGTTTTGGTGATCTAAATCCTTCCAGATTTTTTATGATGTTGCCCCTTTAGGGAGAAGAACTTATACATATCTTAGTGGGAGTGAAAGTAATCTACAGACCTGCTGATTGCCTAACATGTTTGTTGTTTGTAGTATGCCCTTTGTGACCAGCAGGCAACACATAGTATTTGCATGCTAAATTTTGCTGATTTGACCCTGTTGAAATGATTCTGTTGTTGTAGATTGTTCAGGACATGAAATGGTTTTGGCAAAATTGAAGTCAATGTAAAAACTAAATTTGGCAGCATATTAAATGAGTTGCTGATTTGCTGTCACCCAGTTTGCACGACCACACAAGATCAATTTTTAAAAATTATTATTCATTCATAGGACGTTGGCTTGGTTGACTGGAGCAGCAGGGCAACATGGTGGCTCAGTGTTTCACTCTGCTGCCACACAGTGCCAGGGACCTGGGTTTGATTCTAGCCTTGAGCAACTTTCTGTATAGAGTTTGCACATTCACCCTGTGTCTGCGTGGGTTTCCTCTGGGTGTTCTGGTTTCCACAGTCCAAAGATGTGCAAGTTATGTGGATTGGCCATGCTAAATTACTGTTAGTGTCCATAGATGTGCAGACTAGGTGGATTAACCAAGGGAAATGCAGGGTTATAGGAAAAGGGTAGGGGTGGGTCTCAGTGGGATGGTCTTCGGAAGAGCAGTGTGGGGGCTGAATGACCTGCTTCCACAGTGTAGCATTTCTATGATTTATTGCCCATCCGTAATTGCTGTTAAGAAGGGAGTTTCAGAATTTTAACCCAGCAACAGTGAAGGAATGGCAATATATTTCCAAGTCAGGATGGTGTGTGGCTTGGAGGGGAACTAGCAGGTGATGGTGGTGTTCCCATATACCTTTGTCCTTCTAGATGGTGCTGATCGTGAGCTTAGTGAGTCTTTGTGGGTTGTGGCAGTGTGTCTTATAGATGGTACATACTTCTGCTACTGAGAGTTGGTGGTAGAAGAACATTTGTGAATGTTTGTGTGTGTGGTATTAATTAATTGGGCTGCTTTGTCCAGGATGGGTGTCATGTTTTGAGTATTGTTTGAGCCAGCATCATCCAGGCAAGTGGGGACTATTCCATCATATTCTGGACTTGTGCCTTGTAGGTTGTGAACATCTTTGAGGAGTCAGGAGTTATGCAGTGCAGGATTTCTCACCTTTGAGCTGCTTTTGTAGCCATACTACTTATACATCTCATCCAATTCACTTTATGATCGGTGATAACCCCCAAGTTGGTGATATTAAAGGATTCAGCAATGGTAATATTGTTGAATGCCAAGGAGAATAAAATTTAAATTTCAACCCCTCTTTGATGAAGCTAGTTTTGGTAGCCCATGCTTCCCGAAATGTAAATAATGAATGTGTTAGTTCCAATTGGTGAGCTTTCGGCTTATCCATTTATCTTTCTCAAAAAGGGACTTTCCATGTTGTCACTTGTTGAATCCAATTCAGGTTGATTTCAGCCCAATCCACAAACATTACTTCCTTACTTAGGTTGACCTTTTTTTCTGTGGTGGGTGCTACGTCTTCAAATTATAAGGGTGTCATCACTCCTTCTTCTGGGGAGGCACATTCTGAAACAAATAGGCTTATTCCACTCTCTAAGTTCTCGCTACTCTTTCTTAAAATCCGTAGAATGCTGGATACCTTTTGCATCTGGAGCGCACTGTTTGATCTTTTTATTTGATTATCCCAAAGTTTACCCTTTAAATTGATTTTGTTTTTATTTTAATAACTTTTTGTTTAAAAAGTTTGTATTGAGCACCTCTCTCTGAGATATTACTGCTGTTGTCCTCTTAAGTGATGGAATTGAACCGTTCTAATTTCATATTCCCATCAGCCTGTCTCAAAACATGACCTTTTCGTTCTGTGCATATTAAATTTCTGTTTCTCTGTCCATTACCTTCAACTATGTTTTACCTTAAGCTGTACTGAGCAACAATAACAACTTGCATTTACAGCTTACCTTTCATATCATGAAATATCCCAAGATGCTTCATCAGAGCCTTTCTAGATAAAATTTGATGCTGAGAATCTTGAGGGGATATTAGGACAGCTGATTAAAAATTTGCTGAAAGAGACAGATTTGAGAAATGGAGAGATGGATAAGTTTCGTGCGATATTTCAGAGTTTAGAGCAATGTTTTCTAAACTTCTCTGATGTGATCCAATTTTAATGGCTCAGACTTTGTGTGACCACCGGGAGGGCGTTCGTTTTAGCACTTGAGTGTTTGGCGGGGGGTTAGCTCCTGAGTGCTGTGAGGGGAGGAAGCTGTTTTACCTTCTTATCTGGCAGGAGAGAAAGTCAGCATGGTGGGAATTGTTTAAATTGTTGAATTTATTTTAAAGAAAACAATCTTTCCGCAGACATTTTTTTGCAGGAGCAATCTGGCTTCAAAAAATCTATTAGGCCACACTCACCATTAGGAAAAAGATGCTAGAATTTAAAAGGACTTTGCAGTTATTAGTATTCATTCCAACTCCGTAA